ATATATATATATATATATATATATATATATACGCACATAACTTATTCCCGAACGATAAGTTTAGAGCAATTTGTTGCATACCAGCGTACATATTCTAGAATTACTGATCAAATTCTTGCAAAAAAAATATCTAACCTCGATGTAATCACAGATGCCTCTGGCAGTGATATTTTGACATTTTTCAAGTTTGATTTTGCGCATGGTACTCGGTAAACGAGTGAGTACTGAATCGCCCAGTGGAAGATGTTGCTCATTCGGAGGTACCGTGAAATGAAATTCGATGGACTGGATCATCAGTACGTACAGTGTATTTCGATTAATCATTTGAAACAGATCATCATGAAATAAGGACGGTTTGACACCTGCTAAATTCTGAAATCTTTTTTTTTTTCAGCAGTGCTCATTTATTCAAAAACACACGCTTTTCCAGCGCAGCTGAACTCTCAAACTACCGCCCAGCTTCCCTTGCAAGATTCTGCTCAAATGAGGCAAGAGATTGCCCATCCATTTGCTTGGATAAGGTGCTAAAATCACTTACTGCAATAAAAAATAAATAGTGGCGTGCAACATGGCAGCCGGTGGGATCATGCGTTTTGTGCAGTCCCGTCCATCGAACGACTGCCTGTTAATGATTTTCATTGCTTTACACTTTAGTCTGTGCAAAAATAGTTGAAATGTTGTCTGGTTCCTATGTTACGGAATTTCCCACTAAAAATTCCATGCACCAATAAGTGAAAGCTGAATTTGAAACCTTGAAAGGTAAACGTCCTTCCAACATTCCAATCTCATAATTTTCGGGGCAACTACTAAAGCTGGCTCGGCTCGGCTCGGTACGGTTTGGCTCGGCTCGGCTCGGTACGGTTTGGCTCGGCTTGGCTTAGTTCGCCTCGGCAGCTGCACGATTTGCTAATTGACTCGCAGATCGTGTAGTGGGGGAGCGAGGAGAAGGGACACGGGCAGGGGAGAGGAAGGACGGGGAGGGCGGGACGGGGGCAGGAGGGAACGAGGGAAGGGAGGGGACGAGGGGAATGGGTGGGAGAGGGGGAGGGTGCAGGGAAAGAGGAAGTAGGGGGAGGGGACTGTCGTGTGAGGATGTGACCCTGGGGTCAAAGGCACAAGGGAAGGAGTGGTTGGATGGGTGAGTGGGAACGTGACATAATCACGTAGGGGAGAGGGGATGATGGATGGAAAGAAGGAGGATCCATGTTGCTGGCTCCGCTGCGGATGCGCGAAGTACGGAAAGGGCAGAAGGGGGGTATACTGCAGAGGACATAGAAGGGGGTGGGGGAGGAAAAGGGTTGACAGTGCATGAGCACACTTTTGAGTGGTGGATTCGAGACGCGAGGAAGAGGTTGGAATGGGGGTGAAAAGGGGGGAGGGGTGGTGTGTGCGGGTTTCGCGCGTAGGAATTCGAGGCAGGGAAAGGGGATTGGGTAGGTATATTGAATGTATGCGTGACGTAAATTCTTTGGCAGTTGCCTAGGCCAAATAACGGAGAGAGAAGGGATGATGGCTTGAAAGGAAGAAAGTAAGAAAAAAGCACAAGCACGAAAGAAAGTGATAGTAAGAAAATTAAGCGAAAGACCCGCCATCAGTAGGGGACATCCACACCTATAAAGTTGATGCTTAGAAAGCTAAACCTGAAGAAAGCTAAAAGAGAATAAGGTGAAGCTGATGCTTCAGCTTTACCTAGGCATCAGCTCCATAAATATGGAAGCTTTACCTAAGCATTAGCTTCATAATGTGTAGATCCCTTGCTATCAACGGGTTTTTAGCTTGTTTAAAGCTTTCGTACTTTTGAAGCTGATGCTTAGGCAAATCTTCCGTATTTATGAAGCTGATGCATAGGTAAAGCTGAGAGCTCTGAGCTTCACCTATGCATCAGGTTTACAAATGGGGGTGTCCCGTATTGATGACGGAGTTTTTTTTGCTTTTACTTTCTTTCCTACTTATTGTTTTTTCTTGCCTTCCTCCTTTCCAGCCATCACCCCCTCCGCTCTTTCATACAAGGATCTACGTCACGTAGCCATTCAATGTACCCACCCAGTCCGCTCCCCCTGCCTCGAATTCTTGCGCGCAAAACCCGCACACGCCACCTCTCCCCCCTCCTACCCCTCATCCCCATAAAAATCCGCTCCTCGCGTCTCGAATCCAACACCAATAAATAGCAGCGCTGACCAGGGTAGCCGGTGCGATCACGCGTTTTGCGCAGTTCCGTCTAGCGAACGTTTCCCAGCTAAGGATTTTTACTGTTTTGCACTTTTGTCTGCAAAAGTTGTTGAAATGTTGTCCGGTTCCTGCGTTGCGGAATTTCCCATTAAAGCCTTATACAGTAAACATCCTTCTAAATCAACCCTCAATTTTCCGCCTCTTGAGAGATTTTCGAGCCAAAACTTTTATCTATTCGTGCGTAAGACTTTAGCATACTTGGGAATTAAATTTGAGTTTGTGGTGGACACTGCATAGGCAGAAAACATCCTCCTAAAAAACAACCTCTTCTGGCTTCCGAATAATAATTCTTCCCGCCACAACATTCACAAGGAAGTTGAGACTCAGGCGTACGTGAAAGCTAAGTTTGTATTTGCAGGTTCACAAGTGAGCAGAGGACAATAACCTAAAATCTCGGCTTTCCAGCTTTTGTGGTCCTCAAAATAACTTCCCCCAGCAAAACTTCCACAGGATCGTACGCGGTACCCAGACCTACGGTGAAGCTGAATTTGAAGTTATGAAGTTGAACCTGGGCAGGGGATATTGGGTATTACCGTAAAATTTTAGCTACTAACTTTTGTGATTTGAAAAGGGAATAATTTTCCCGCCAAAAACTTCACGGAGCCGTACGTGATACCCAAGTGCGCAGGAAGGCTGAATTTAAATTTTTTTGGGGTTGTATATGGGCAGCACACATTACCTTAAAATTTTAGCTTTTTTGCTTTTGCAGCTCCCGAGGTAATAATTTTCCCGCTAAAACTTTCATGGGGTCGTATGTGATATCCTAGGGCGCGGGATCTCCAAATTTACATTTGCGAGGTCCCACTTGGGCGGTGAACATTCCAGTGTCCCAGCTTTCGTGGTTCCCAAGATCTCCCATTCTCCGCGCTCCCCCACTGCACGACCTGCAAGTCAGTTGGCAAATCGTGCAGCTGCCGAGTTGAGCCGAGCTTTAGTAATTACCATTTTCTGGCTTTCGAATGATTTTTTTGACAAAACCTCCGCGTGTTCGTACGTGAGGGCCTGGCATACTTAGGAATTGAATTTGAGTTTGTGAAGCCCTTGCTTAGGCAGGCAACATCCTTCTGAAATTTTCATCCTCCTAGCTCTTCTGGCTCCCGAGATAATGACTTTTCCCGCCAAAACTACTATGAGGACGTTGGAAATTCGGGGAGTTTTACGTGGGCAGGGGTGCTACACCAAAATTTCAGCTTTCTGGTTTTTGCAGTTCAAGAGGTTATAGTTCTCCTACCAAACTTCCGCGGGGTCATGAGTGGTACTCAGGGTACGTGGAAGTTGAATCCAAATTTGCGGGACCTTACGTTGATAGGGGACATCACCCTGAAATTTTAGGTCCCCAACTTTCGTGGTTCCCATGAAAATAATTTTCCCCGCCGAAATTTCCACGAGGCCGTAGGTGATACCCAAGAGCGTGGGGACGCTGAATTTGAACTTAAGGGGTGGTACGTGGGCAGGGTAGGTACAGTCCTCTAAAATTTCAACTTCCTAGATTCCGCGGTTCCCAAAATAATAATTTACCCACCAAAACTTTTACGCAGCCGTATATGTTACTGTGCGCGTACGGGGAGGCTGAATTTAAATTTGCGGGGTCGCACGTGGGTTGGAAACATTCCCTTAAATTTTCAGCTTTACTAAAAGTCACCAAAATAGCTTACAACTACTAAATTATATGTAAGGCAAAAACGTACCTGAACTCTAAAAAGTACCTATATCAGCACTGAAAATGCGATACCTAAGAGCAAAGTGCGCAAAAGAGACAAAAACTTCTTTTTGTTCTGGAAAATACCGACACTTGAAACTACTTCAGCAGCTTAAAGCCACGTAGAGGAAAATCTCCTTCTTCTTAGCCTACTAATCAATTTCAAAAAAGGCGCCAACTTTACTAAACAAGAACTTGCTCCGCATACCTTGGTTGCGGCAAAACGTCATTATGATCATTTTCAAAACTCATAACTGGTACACCGATGTTTTTTCCTCACATGATTTATGGAGAACTGCAACAGTTATAACGAAGTTATGCCTCTGATAGGGACTTATCTGCTTGCATAAATCGGAAATTGTGCAGCAGCTAAAAAGCTGACGTTATGAGAACGTGATGTTAGTATAAAGGTAGAAAAGCCTAAAATCTATTCTCATATCGCTCTATGTTTTGATCTGTAATTCAGTTTCACATATGAACCAGTTTTATCTCTTCAGTGAACAACTTCCATAAAATCTTGACTCAGCCACTTCACTGAAGTATGGGAATGGTGGAGGACCGAACTTGGCCGGTGGGTGATGCTTTTTGCACTATGCTTGAAGCAATCAGGCCTTTAACCGTATGAATGGTTCTTGCTTTACACTAACTTTATGCTCTCACTAGCATAAATCATCGCAAATTTTGCATAAAAGAAATTGGACAATTTCTGTTTAACGGTTGTTTTAATTTGAAAATGAACTAGCTGTTTGGTGGAAATTTCCTCACCAAAACTTTTGGGTGCTCCTACGTGAAAATCATGCGTACCTAGTCGCTGAATTTAAAAGCTTTAAGTTGTACTTAGGCAGGGAACATTCCGTTAAAATTTTAGCTTTCCAGTTTTCCTGGTTCCAGAGTTAGCAGTTTTCCTGCCAAAACTTCCTCGCGCCCGTACTTGAGTACTACGCATACTGAGGTATGGATCAGAAATATTTATGTTGTAGATGAGTAGGAGGCATCCTCTTAAAATTTCAACCTCCCAGCTGTCCTGTTCTCGAATTGGCGGTCTTCCCGTCAAAACTTTTGTATGTTTGTATGCAGGGCGCAGGCTTGTGTAAAGGTTATTACCGTGGTCTTGGAGCGGCGCTTGGGCAGGGAATCCACCGGTAAAATTTCAGCGCAAAGCTTGCTTGATTGCCGGGTTGAAATACCCCGACAGGCACACATACATACAAGCAC